CCACTAGCCATGACCTGTCTTTTAAGGTTCTTCTTGACTTCCTGTACAAATCTTTCTGCAGCCCCATTCGAGGCAGGATGGTAAGGAGGTGAGAGCGTAAACTTAATACCGTTGTTGCTCAGAAATTCTCTGAATTCCCCACTAGCAAAATTGGGACCATTATCACTGACCAATTCTTCCGGTAGGCCAAAAGACGCAAACAGCGTACGCAGTTTTTCAATGGTTTTAAACGATGTAGTAGATTTCATGATAAACACTTCTAGCCATTTGCTAAAACTATCAACAACTATGAGCATTTGTTGTCTTGTTAGTGGGTCTTCCGCATAATCCACGTGGATGCGCTGCCACCTACTTGAAGCTCTAGGCCACTGACATAATGGCACCTTAGCCACAGCATTCCTTGTACACTGGCACACATGACATGAGAGAACCGTCTCTTCAATGGTTTTATCAATCCCCGGCCACCAAACAAAGCTTCGGGCTAACATTTTCATCCTATTTATTCCGGGATGCTGATCATGCAGCAATTGGATAACGGCACTCCTCAGTTTCTCTGGCACCACTACTCGACTACCCCATAAAACACACTGGTTCTCTACGGACAACTCATCCCTTCTTCGAAAATAAGCAACCAGCTCAGAATCTTGACTATCACGCCATCCATGCCAAATGAAATCTCTGACCTTTGTCAAAACAGGATCAGTATCAGTAAGTCGAGCGATATCCTTAGCAGTAATAGGATTGAGATCACTCACCAATTTGAAACAGTCAAAGGCCTCTACCAGGGAAGAAACATGAGAGATGTAGTTGGAATCCAGCTCCAATTGGTCGTCATCAGGTAACGGTAATCTCGAAAGAGCGTCCGCATGTGGCAAGTCCAAGCCACGGCGGTACTTTACTTCAAAACTGTAGGCGGAGAGGATCAGGGCCCATCGTTGAAGACGCGCAGCGGCGACACAGGGAACTCCCCGCTTATTTCCAAAGATTGTCACTAAAGGAGCATGGTCAGTCTGTAACACGACATTTTTCCTACCGTAAATATATTTATGGAATTTTTTTACTCCAAAAACAAGAGCCAAAGCTTCTCTATGCAACTGTGAATAATTTCTTTCACTAGCACTCAAGGATTTCGATGCGAAGGCAATAGGCCTCTCTACTCCATCAATAAGGTGCGAAAGCACGGCACCAACACCTCGTGGACTTGCGTCACAAGTCAAAACTAATGGTCTATTTACATCATAATGAACTAAGACATCTGAAGACAATACCCATGTCTTACTTTCTTGAAAAACAGAAGAACATTGGGATGACCATACCCACGGTGCATCCTTACGAAGTAGATCGTAAAAACAGCTAAGTTTGTCTGAAAGATTGCAAATAAACTTCCCATAATAATTTATAAGGCCTACATAGGCTCTTAACTCTTCCTTTGAAGTTGGCTCGGGTGCATTCCGAATCGCCTCCAAAATACCCTCCTGCGGGCTGATCCCTTTGGACGACAAACAGTAGCCTAGGTACTGTACTGACGGCTGTAAGAATTTACATTTAGAATCATTTACCTTGACTCCATAACTTTGAAGACGTTGAAGAACACTCTCCAAGCGTGACAACGCTTCCTCTTGCGAAGATCCACCCACCAGTACGTCATCCAAATATGCCACTGACCCAGGTAGGCCACCAATAATTTTGTCCATGGCCGCTTGAAAGAGAGCCGGAGCCGAAGACAAACCATACGGCAGACGTCGCAAACGCACTAAGCCTTTGTGCGTAGTTAGAGTCAAGAGTGGTTGGGACTCCTCCGCCACAGGAAGTTGGAGATACGCTGCCTCCAAGTCCAAAACTGAAAACCAGCTACAACCTGCTAGAGTAGCAAAAATGTCCTCCGGTTGAGGCAAGGGATAGTGTTCCGACTGGATCACTTGATTAAGGGTTACTTTAAAGTCCCCGCAGAGTCGCACCCCACTTTTCTTCTGAATCACCACAATAGGAGTAGCCCACTGAGAGCTGGTAACGGGATAAGCAATACCTTCAGCAATCATCCTATCAATCTCATCTTCTACTGATTTACGCAACGCGTAAGGAACAGGGCGATATTTACAAAATTTTGGCACAGCATCCTCTTTTAACACAATACGTGCCTCAACATCCTTAATTTCACCAGGACCTCCTTTGAACACAGAGGCATACTTTTGTTTCAAACCAGAAACGACTTTAGGCTCAACGGCCTTACCTAGGGTTAGGTTAGGTTCACCACCCTTAGATTTAACACTGCCTGATAGGCTATTAAAATTACAAGTAAAAATAGATTTCCAGTCAAAAGCAATATGTTGTAGCCAACTACGGCCTAGAAGCATAGGCTGGTTCCTACGATCAATCTTAACGACTATCATAGGTAAATGATAAGTCTGGTCCATGTAGGCTACTTTGACTAAAGCTTGTCCAATAACATTGACTTCATTGCCTGAATATGTAAGCAACTTGATATCTACAGTACTCAATTGTACATGAGGGAAATATTTGTTAAACAATTCTTGAGGGCACACAGTTAGTGCCGAGCCAGTATCAATTTCCATTAATACGGATACATTCTCTATTTCTAGGCTTACCTTAAAGGCAGAAACATTATCACCAGAATTCATACTGTACAAAGACAAACTTTCAAACTTCACTTCATCTGGACCACCACTAGGCCTAGGCCTATTTTCCTCTTCCATCTGATGGATTTTAAATTTAGCACTTTTTATGGAATTTTTCACTGGATTTTCATTTTTGAACCTGCAAACCTTACTGATGTGACCCAACTTTTTACACCCATGGCACTTGTAATTACTATACGGGCAATTATTAGCCCTATGCTCTGGATTGCCACAACGAAAACACTTATTTATCTGAGACATATCTCCCTTCACATCACTTGAATTTGATTTAGATCCCGCACTGTGAAAATTTGAACCTCGGTTGGAAACACGTGCATTCTTCTTGACCTGAAACCTGGAAATTTCCTGAACACTTGTATTCGAGAATAGACCTGTTTGTTTCTCGGCCTGTTCAAGCCTGAGTGCAAGAGCCAACGTTTTCTTCAAATCCATTTCTTCGGAAAGTAATTTTTGACGAATTGCTTCATTTTTAATTCCCGAAACTAACTTGTCTCTCAGTGCGTCCGATAAGAATGTTCCAAAATCACACGTCGAAGCCAAATGCTTCACTGCCACTACGAACTCGGCAATACTTTCAGATTGTTTCTGGCATCGACTATAAAAAGTATAACGCTCAGCGACCACAAGGCGTTTAGGAGAATAATGATCTTCCAAGATTTTGCTCAAATTTTCGTAAGATTCTTCGTCAATCTTCTTAGGAGAAATAAGATCGGTGAGGACGGCTAATATTTTAGGGCCTATTACAGTAATCAAGATGGAGACCTGCTTCACGTCCTTGACCTCGTTGGCCTTGAAAAAGTGTTTCAAACGTAACAAATACGAACTAATATCTTCTTCGTACGGATTAAACTCCGATATCCGACCGATACTAGACATTTCACGCACACGCGGATTTAATTTCGTCGCCAAATGTAATAACTGTACTTAGTAAGATTAAAGAACCCGATACTTGGGACAACTTACTATTTAGCATGACAACTCCGACTGACGTTTCACTCCGCTTCGTGCCATCGTTCCTCGTCGGTGACGTCACTCAGCAGTGCAGCCAACCACACACACAAACTCAATATTCTTCTGGCAATGTAATAAAGCCTTATATATTACAGCAGTGTTGTCCAAGTCCAAGTAGTTGTGTATTTAGTCACTAGATGACAGCACGTACTGGGACGTCCCTGGGTGTACGCAATACATCAAAACACAGCCGCGAGGCTAGGAATTGCAGCGTATCACGTACAACAAATGAAACAACAATGCAATTTAATATATGTCATATTTGGGATGATGTATTGTTACACTCAAATTATAAAGTGATACTCGTATGACGGAAAAGGAAAGGTTAATTTTTTTAAGTTTAAGAACTGTTTCTAAATTTTTAATACACAGGGTGTTTCCAAAAAGAATCATCCAATTTGATAGTAAAGAATAATTCATAAAGTTTTTTTTACATACCAACAGGACGGTACCCCACATACTGAATCTTCACGTGAGAGATTTTGTGAATGGTAGGCTTCCTAAAAGATAGATCGGCCGTCCTGGCTCAAACGATTCCGCGTTATGTCACAGACCTTCAAGGTCACCTGACCTTACTGTTTGTGATTTCTTTGTGTGGGGGTTTGTTAAAGACCCTGTTTATATCCTTCCAACAACATTGGTAAAACTGAAGAACCGCACTAGAGCAGTTGGAATTAATTACTCAAGACATGCTAGGTAAGGTGTGGGACAAATTTGAGTACCCCCTTGACATATGATGAACATCTAAAGTGGGTCATATTGAGCATTTATATGGTATGTAAAAAATCTGATGAGTTATCATTTAATATAATATTAACCTCATGTCCGTATGATCGCATTGTTAGTTTTGAAATTATAAACCTTTAAAATCGGATGATTCTTTTTGAAACACCCTAGGGAGGGGTACTTACGTATTATACGGAGGCCACTTATTTTACAGCGCGCTGCGGCGGTTAGGTTAGGTTATCATAAGTTTTTATGACTCATCTCGTATAGTTCAATTCATAACGAAACTAGGAAAGTTCTACAAACATATTTATGATAACCCAACTTAACCCAACCGCCGCAGCGCGCGCTGTAAAATAAGTGGCCTCCGTATAATACGTAAGTACCGAGGGAGGTTTTGCTGTATTTATATTAAACCAAATACAGTACTACCTGATCAGTTTGAGTCAATAAATGATTAAAATTAGTTTAGTACAAATCACACTTAAGACACACAAAAAAGCACAAGCGTGCCTCTTACATTAGGCCTACACATAATGTTTGACAAAACTATATTTCAGACCCCCTAGTCGACTTTGTGCCTAAACTGTTATTAAATTATTTCAGGATCCTGACCGGTAAACGTCAATATGGGGAAATTGTGATGCCACTGCAAGGCATTGTAGAAGTAATGAAACATTTCCACAACTACACTGACATTCCACAGATAAAGAAATTGGCTGATGAGGTAAGGGATGTCTTAATAAGTTCGTCTCTGTAACTTGGTTGTTTAGAAAGGCGAACCACAGGTTCTATTTACCACACTAAGGGTACTCAAACAGTGGAAGTGCTTAAAGCTGTGCAACGATCCTCCCATAGTTAGCAACAGCAAAGTACCGTGCTTAGTGGAGCCTGGCTGTTACCTTAATGGGTGCAGGGAATCACGATTGGTGGGTATACAATTGCTACTCCGATTGTTTATATAGGCCTAGCTCAATTCATGTATTGCTGACTTCCGTCTCTGATTTTTACAGTCCCCATTATCCCTAGTCTATAGGTGATGTAAATAAAAACAACCATTTAAAACATCAACCACATGATTTGGAGTATAGACGACTTCTAATTATTTTTTGTTTGGCCTAGGATGCTAGGCACGGGCCCGGGATTGTTTTTTATTTTTACATTACTCCAGGCTAGACTTAGCGTTTGTGGCATTATCACTTGGATAAAATCCATTGATGATTTGGTGGAATTTGAAACCAGGACCTCAGGGACCAAAGTCCAGTACTCTTACCACTAGACCAGCTCACTCCCCCCAGCTCGTTCCTCCTGTGAAAAACAGGATAACTACTGTAGTAACACCTTATAACCAAGAATTGAATACTAGGTCTAGTATGAAAAGCTATTCTTAGTGATGCAATTTTATATATTTTAATAGTGGTAGGTATAGTTGTTTTTCTAAAATAATAATTAAATGTCTATTAATATATAATTTATGCTGTAAAGTATTTGCATAGTAGAGTAACTGTATTGCATCTGCAATATTTTAATAACTATCGCAAAAGCCTTTTTTAATTTAATTTTTGTTGCTGCTACCTACCGTTGATTGTAGAACTACATTGTGTTCCTTGGTTAATAATCTCTGGTTTTAAAGATTTTACTAACAATTGAGATACACATATGAAAACTATATTAAAAATAAAGTACCTTTAAGTTACCTCAAAGTGCAATGTTAAAACTGGTTAGTGGATCAAATTAGAATACAAATTTAACTAATGTTTCATCCATAATCAGGAGATGCTAATGCAATAAAATACTACTGTAGATATAAAAAAAAACCTTCCTGGGGTATCCTTAAACTTCCTAAAAAGATGCTGGGATACATAGCTACCTCTTGATACCTTAATGTTTTGGCCTTTTAAAGCACCTCTCAACTCCGTCCATCAGCCTCAGGCTCTTGTCGAATCTCAAGGGCTACTGAATACCCTTTTCTCTTATTTCATTTTGCCTCATTTTTTTTTTATTGAGGGCCAGGCGTACAAGCAACCATGTGATTGCAGCGCAGATGGAACAGCTCATTGTGCACCCTCATTCACAGGTCCTCATTCTTTGTCAAATCCCAGGTCCTTTGTGAACCATGAGATCTTTTTGACGCTTCAAACACACTCTTGCACACTCGGAAAGGGCAACAACTTCTGCCTGGAATACAGTGGCCATTTTCCCAGGCTTACGCAGAACTGCGCCTTGGGTCTGACTCCATATATTCCAGCCCCCGTGCCCGTTGGCTTTTTCGAGCCATCCGTATACCAAGTGATCCCCCTTTTCATGTATTCAGGTTCACCCTCGTCCCAGGCATCCCTGTCAACAATGTTGACATTGTAAGGTTTTTCTAGATCTGTGATCTTCACCATCCTGTCTGGTAGTATTTCCAAGGTGTTCATCTGCACCTTGTCCACAATTCTTGTGCGCTCACTGAAGGCATTATAATTCCAGTTGCCACTGCAAGCCATTCTGTAGGCTGCCATCCTTGCCTCTCCTTTCACAATAATGTCGAGAGGTGGCAGGTTTAGCACTACTTCCAGGGCTGCAGTTGGAGTGCCTCTCATGGCTCCTGTGATGCTAAGGCATGCTACTCGCTGGATCTTTTGTAGTTTCTTTACAGCGGTAGTTTGCATTACCTTGGTCCACCAGACCACTGAGCCATACACCATCATCGGTCTTGCAACCCTAGTGTATAGCCAGTTAGTCATTTGTGGGCTTAGACCCCAGGTCTTCCCAACAGCCCGTCTCATCATCATAAGTGTGGTCTGAAAGCGCTGCGTTATATGTGCCAAATGGCTGTTCCAGGTGAGCTTGTTGTCCAGCCTTATTCCTAGGTACTTGAACTCCCTCTTAACCTGGATCTGATTAACGAAGAGTGTTGGTACTCTAGCGATATCAACATTTCTCTTCCTTGTAAATGGTACCATTACGGTCTTCAGTGGATTGACCCTCAGACCTTCCTGGTTGCACCACCTCTCCATTATGGACAATGCCCTCTGCATGAGTTCCAGGCAAGTGTTCATCAATTTTCCTCTTATTAGGACAACAATATCGTCAGCATATCCTTGAGCGTACATGCCCTGTGCATTGAGCTCGGTCAGGAGATCGTCGACCACCAGGTTCCACAGATTTGGTGACAAGACGCCACCCTGTGGACACCCTCTTTGACCTCTCTCACCGTCCCACACAGAGAAGCTTGTGCTCTCCTACTTTCGAGCATGTTGCCTATCCACCTCTTTACAGTGCTTTCCACATTTCTTGACACCAGCTTTGATACAATAGAGCAAGTACTAGTGTTGTCAAAAGCTCCTTCTATACCAAGAAATGCAGCCACCGCTATTTCCTTATTCGAGATAGCATTTTCAATCTTGCTAACCAGCGCATGCAGGGCAGTTTCGCATGACTTTCCCTTCTGATAGGCGTGTTGGTTCGGATTCAAAGGACGGCTTACCAGGACCCTATCCATTATTCGTCTATCCACTAATTTCTCCATGGTCTTCAGGAGAAACGATGTACGGCTGATTGGTCTGAAAGCCTTAGGCACAGCATATGTGTCCCTTCCAGGCTTCGGTATGAATACCACCCTTGAGGTCCTCCATGCTGTTGGTATTACTCCACTGGCTAAGCTGGTCCTGAAAAGACGCACCAAGGGGAGTATCAACTGGTCCCCACCTTCCTGAAAAAACACAGGATAGATGCCATCGGTACCAGGAGCTTTAATTGGTTGAAATGCCCTAAGAGCCCACTTTATACCCGTAAAGGTGATCACAGCCCTAGCGCAAGCCCAATATTCCCTTGCCGTCCGCACCCTAGTCTCTCTTTCCATCTCCTCCTGGACTGTGCTCTGCGGTTGCAAGGATCCTGGGAAGTGAGTGCTCAAAAGGTTCTCCAGCACTTTTTCTGGGCCATCCGTATAGGAATTTCAACCTTCTCTGAACTAGAGCTGGGCAATCCAGCCACAAATGTTTGGCTAATTTTATCAAATAGCACAAAATTTACATTGGTCTAGAGTGGAACCTCTTTAATCCGAACCCCTGTAATCCAAACGTCCACTAATCCGAACGCCTCATTGCTGTACTCTATATACAGTACAGTAGTTCTTTATTGGATACTGTATTTATTGGTATACATACCGTAGTTGTTTCTATTGTAATGTACAGTACTGTTTATTCCCTGTTTACTATTTTATTAAATAAACAATTAATTTTACTTTATACAGCATTTTTAACTTTTCCCTAGTAATTTTTATGTAAATACAACAATATGTTCTGTAATCCGAACTATTCAATAGTCTGAACTACCCCCGGTCCCAATTAGTTCGGATTAAAGAGGTTCTACTGTATTTGGCCGGACCCAATGGTTATTGGTGCTTCCTTATTGGTCCATGACGATTAAACAGCCATTTCAGTAAGCTAGCGACCCTTTTAGCGAATTTCCCATATAGGGAATAAGCTATTACTGTAGTACTCATGGTAAGACCTGGACCTAGGACCGAATTAATTTTTCGTTTTGAGGTCCCTAGAGGCCAAAAACAACATCCGTTCAAATTGATATATATATATGTACGTCCGTTAGCGCGATAACTCGAGCAAAAAGGATCCGATTTTGATGAGATTTGGTACAAACGTGTAAACCAACGTTTATTTGAACGAGTTCGCGAACCAGCATAATCGGACCATGGGAACGGGGGTTTATGGGGGGTTTTATGGGGTAAAAATGGGGTTTTCCCATTTTTGACCCTGAAAACAAAAAGTTTTGCAATTTATTTTAAACCGTTTTGTAGAGCTTAAAAAAAATGATTTAGTATATTGAAGCGCTGTTGTATGCCTAACGGTCACGGAGAAAATTAAAAAAATAGTGTAATTTAAAATTCCCATGTTATTCTTATGGAGAAAATGAAAACTGTTGTAGTTTACTTGTTTATGGATATATATTATATATTGATAAAATTTGGCAAATTTATTTATTTCATCCTATTCTATTGATGTAGCCTATGGTCAAAAAACACTTTTTACCTTCCCCGTAGCAGCAAACCTAAGCTTTTGTTAAATCTAATGTTATTTAAATAGGGAATAAATATGTCTTATTTATAGAAATATTTTAGTAAAAATGTAATCAGACAAGTTGAAATTCGCTTAGTCTGCAGGTTTGCTGCGGCGGGGGTATTTTTAGGTTTGTGATTCCTTTTCGATCCTTTCATGAGAGATCTATCAGCATTCTTGATTATCTATTTTCTGGGTTGGTCCAACACACTTGAGCTTTCAGGCCCTTCTTATATTCTAATACTTTAAATTTTCCTATACATTTGGGACACCACAGTAGGGCTTTGGGTGTTGGTAGGCGATCTTCATGCTGTAACTTACCAATTACCATTATTTTACATTCATTTAATATATTGAATTCACACTAATCTCAGGTCCAATACCAAAAATTAAAACTTTACCATCAGATGCTTTTCCAAGCATCAAAGATCTTCCACTAATTCCATTATGTTGACTGACAACCAGCTTCTAAGTTCTAAGCTAGAAAGCTAGAGTGTTGTTGTGTGCCTCCCTGACCTGACCCCATCCACTTATTTAGTTAGCAAATAAGCTACCGTCCTAGCTCGACCACCGTAAGTTTTGAATCCACTTCGTGAGTATACAAACATTTCCAGAATATTTTGTGCTCTCCATTTTAAATAAATGATAATTTCAAACATTTACTTGATTTTATTTTTCAGGTACATGAAATTCAAAACGCCTTGTCCCAACAAATAACACAAGATTTCCACGAAGCATTAACTGGGGCCAATGCCAAAAACTTTACTCCAACAAGAAGTCTTGCTGAAGCCTGTTTGGTTGTAGATATCTTGGACCCTAAAGTCAAGTAAGCGAAGTTGTATTATTATTGAGACTGTCAGACGTTAGTCACGCTTAAAATTCTTTACATTAACTGTATTTTATTAAATTTTATATTAGGGAATTCTCCATATAGGGAATAAGCTATTACCATAGTTCTTATGGTAAGACTTAGACCTGGGACCGATTTGCCTCTCCGTTTTGAGGTCCCCAGAGGCCAAAACCACCCACCTTCAAATGTATATATATATGAATTTTTAATCCCCATGTTATTCTTATGGAGAATGAATATGTTAATTGTGGTAGTTTGCTTGTTTATGGACATATATTTCGATCAAACTTGGAAAATTTATTTATTTTATGCTAAGCCAGGGGTCTCCAACCTAGTCCGTGGGCCACATTCAGCCCTCAAACAGATTTTATCTGGCCCACGAAGGCCTAGTGAAAAATAATTATTTTTTTATAATTTGTATAAATCGATTATCGTAAAAGTTGCAGCAACACCCGTAGGTATATTTTGCAGTCTCGGTAATATCGTGATCGTCATTCATGGTCGCCGCAATAAGTTACCTGTTATTAAATGTCGCGGTCTCAATCAAAACATGATCGTTATTCTCGATCGCAGCAACCTTCACGAGCATATTTTGTGGTCTCGATGATACCCCGATCGTCTCCCGCGATCGTGACTGCACTGTGAACACCTCTTGTGGCAGTATCAGTAAAATGTCTGTGATATTGTCCAGTGATCGTGATTTACTTATGATGTTAAAATAGAACTATGGAAACGCCATCAATGAATTGAGACCTATTGGCTATTGGTGATCATTGTAGTCCTTGGTCCATACCAAATTCAAGTACAATTCTCAGTGCCCAGGTTGTCTGGATACCCAGATACTCTGTTTAAATCAACGTTTAAATATGTGTATAGTAGGCTTACACTCCTCTCACACTTTCCACGTTTTATTTCCAATAAGAGAAAATGAACTGTAGGCCTAACCATGTGCCTAGTGATCGAGCTATCTTATATACATCTTCCAAGCTAAGTGAACCTTTGAATTGAAAACAATCCTACGGATCAGGACAACAAACATTAACCCTGATTTGGCTAACCTTAAAGTGGCAAATACAAAATTTTCCCTAAAAATTGCTGTTAATTTCAGCTTTACACTCCTTTTAAACTCATTGTCAATTATTCTTATTGTTATTACAAATAAATGTTCAATCAAGAAAACTAAGTAGTACATTGAAAATATTTGGTGTTGTGTCATCCTGTGTTTTCATCAATCCTACTTAAAAATTATAGAACAAATACTTTTTTTTTTCATGCTAAAAACAGAACTTTAAACATTTATTATAAATATTACAAGACAAATAAATCTAAATTACAGATATTACTAAAAATTTTGATTCTTTCAATATATATATTGGATGCCTGCTCCATCTTCGAATTCTCTAGCAGATCTCCATTTTTTCCGAGATCTTCTCAGACACATGCTTGTTGCCCTTAAAATTGAGCAAGTCAGTCTCGTTCTTATCCAATTGACTACTAGGCTGTAAGGCTTAACCCATTTTTCTGACAATCTTTCAGCTAATGCTCTTATTAGTGTTTGAAAATCATTGCCTAGGATTCCGCAAACTGATGTAATCAAAGGGGTGAAAGAGGCATTCCGGTTCTCACAAGCTGTCATATACTTTCTTTTCTTTTCTTCTTGACATTTTTTATGACATTGTCATGAGGTTTGGAAACATATGAGGGAGCATCGGTGTCTACGACACGGATATCAAATAATGCATCCCTCTGTGTTTCCCACACCCCTCTACATGCCAAGTCAGCTTTGATTGCAGGCCCGTTTGCATTTCCATTCTCTGCTATAAGGGTCTCTTTGATACAATTCCCCCATGCCTGTTCCATTATGTTTCCTAAAGTATCTCTAATTTCATTGTGCCTTTTTATAATTAGGCCACCTACAGGGAATATAAGGGCATGGTCTGTATTAAATTCTTTTCCACAGCCATCACATTTCGTTGGTAAATTGATTGGTGTCCGACCGTATCTCAGTGCCAGGGAATCCCTAAATTCTTGGGGTGACATGTCTAAATTTAATTTCTTCAGTGGTATACAGGATAACCAGCTGCCATGTTTTGATTTAGTGTCAGCATTTCGTAGTATTACATTTTGTCTTTGTCGTGAAAAACATTTTACATTTTCATTTAATAATTTGTTTTCTTCAGTTTTCTTTTGTTCTCTATGGATTTTTAATGTCTTTTTTAAAGTATCTTAATGCTCACTGAACTCAAAAGAGGTTTTTAATGCAAGAGATTGTAATAGAACGTCGCAACCTCTTTTTGAAGTTTCATATATGTGTTTTGATTGCATAACTGGATCAGCCATCCCTATTCCTCCGCTTTTTACTGTTAGATGAAGTAATTCATGCTCTTCTTTACATAGGCCTTCTTGTAATCCAAACAGATTGGGGAAAAGTGATGTTCTTATAGTTTGCTGGATTGGACTGAACATTTCTGGTTCGACTTTTACAACTCTCTGGAAAAAGGTCCATTCTGCTTGTAATGATTTTGTAGCAACAGTATGGGCTGATTGAGGGTGTTTTTCAGCAATCTCAGCAATATTTTCAACACGCTGGGTCCAGGCATTGATCTTTTCTGCTGCAAATTTTTTCTTTTCTTCCTCACAGCCAATAAAGCCTCCTAAAAACTTGCTGCCATGAACCACTTCCATTCCCTCCATTTGTTTCATAGCTTTTTTGGGAATTTCAAAATCATGGTTCCAAATTAGTTTGGTTTTTTTTGCTTGGGGGTAGTATCCATATTTTGGACCTATTTCTTTAAGTTTTTGCCACCATTGTATCACATTATTAAGGGATCCTTGACAAGATGAATCATCTGCATACCAGGTCTGGAAAACATCTGGCATTCTTTTTAATTCCTGAATTAGTGGAAGTGTTGCTAATCCATACAAAATCATTGATAAAGGGTCACCTTGGGTGACACCTTCTTTGCTGAATAGTCTTTTATTAGTTCCAGGGATTATCAAGTCTGCGTTGCATTGATAAGTGTTGTAAATAAATCTGGCAGCTCTTGGCCAATGTAGCCTTGCTTGCCACAATGCATTTGCTCTGTTAATTTTATTAAAGGCATTATCAGCATCAACTAATATCATGCACCATTCATTTGTATTGTCAAAATTCTCGTCCATAACATTTTGCATAAAATGTATTGCTCCCACTATGCCTGATTTTAGGCCCCCACATAGTTGATTAGTACCTAAAGCATGTTTTGCATCATCACCAAATGCTACTATCATGCATTTAGCTATGATTCTTCTTAGGCATTCTCCAATTCCGATTGGTCGCACTCCGGGACATTTGTCAATGGCTATCAATCTATTTGCCATTAAGGCTCTTATTTTATACCAAGGTATTATTTCTCCATTCATTTTCATGGCTAAAGAGGCTATTGAAGATCTCAGAAGCGCACTTTTCTTTCCATGTCTTAACAAGAAATCCGTCCAATTTTCTGAGGAGCTTCCTCCTGGCCCGCCACTTCCATGAAGTTGTCTTGCTACTTTCTCAACATGCTCTGCTGTTATTTCTGTGTTTTCTAGTTTGGGAACTTCACTCATGGTTTCAGGTAGTTTTAGTAAATCTTTGTTTGGAATTATTGGGTCTGGATGTTTTTCTTTCAATAATTCATAAACTGTAGTGTTGGATTCACCGATATAATCGTTAGGATTAAGGATTCCTCCTACCATATTTTGGTTTACTACTCTTGATGCATCTTTTATTTTCCCACATTGAACAAGTCTGTTGAAATAAGTTTCTGTAAACTGTTTTTGTTCATTTGTATAAAGTTTTTTACACTTGTTCTTTAAAGATCTATCGCATCAGATTGCCTCCGATTCCGAGGTTTGTTTGATTATTTTTTCTCTTTGCAAAATAACAGCAATGAAACATATTACTCTTTCAGAGGTTTCTTTTCCAGTTGCTAGCAATAATATTTCTTCCGCTAGTAATTGTACAAATTTGTCACCAATGGATCCATTTGGCAAATTATATTGCAATCTTTTAAGATTAACAATCTTTTCCCAGCGAGGCAACCATATACTAATATATAATAATTATAATGAAGAAATACTAATTTCATGGTAAATATACTGTAAAATTTATTTATATTATTTTTTTATGAATTTGAATAATCATAAGCCTACTTATGTACTGACAAAGTATAAATATGACAAACACAGTTTATATGCCTATAAATAATGTGAGGTACATCAGTTATTTTGTTTGGTCACAGTATCATTTGTACAAAAACGTACAGAATTTTAGTCAGTCAAAAGGTTAAATAGCAACTCAAACATCAGCAAGAAATGTTCAAACTTCATTGCTTAGCTTTTAATTAGAAAACTACCTCTTTGTGGGTTATTTGGGGCGGCTACCTTTCTACACTGAAATGTTGACGGTCCGGCCCGCCTATCCTCCAAAAATTGTCAATGTGGCCCTTGAGTAAAAAAGGTTGGAGAACCCTGTGCCTTAGCAATTAAATCTATTTAACATTTTTATAAAAAAACATACTTTTTTACCGTTCCTGTAGCAGCATACCTAAGTACTTGTTAAACCTAGTGTTATTTAAATAGGGAATCAATCTGGCAGGTTTAAGGAAATATTTATGAGAAAATCCAATCAGGCAAATGGAAATTCGCTTAGTCAGCAGGTTTGCTGCAGCAGGGGGTATTTTTTATATTTTTATATAAAACTCTCCCCCATACATTTCTTATGGACGTTTTGTAGTTTGATATTTTTTTTAAATTATTTTTCTTATATCTACAGTTCTTATTAACGCTTGCAGTTCGTGCTAGGCTTAAAATATTCAGTAATGTAAGGACTTTTATTTGAGCTCTTGAGTATTAAAATCAGACGAGTTAAAGACTAGCTACAAATCCCAACGCAATATTAAATTTAACTTTTAGAAATTAGTTTTTATTAAAAGATTTATATCTCTGGTTGTTAAGGCGTCACCAAGTTATTTATGGTCTTTAATTACTTAGCAAATGTTTATTTTATTAATCACTAAATAAAATCTGACAAATCTGAAGTGAGTCGTGGACCTTCATTTAACATTAAATTATTTTTATTTAGAAATTTATCTATTGTTTAAGACATATATCCCCAATTATAAATAACTACCAATAAGTAATCTTTAGCTAGAATAAAAGTCAATAATTTGGCGAATTATTTAGGACTATAAGAGTTTTGGAAGTTATTTAGAATTAGAGATATATGTCAAGGGATATAAAGACAAATTTCGAAATAAATAAATTTTAATGTTATATTAAGATTCATGACTCATTTTAAAATTGTCATATTTTGGTTAATGGTTAATGAAGTCAAAGCGAAACATTTACTGAGTAATTTGAGACCAGAAAGAACTTGGTGACGTATTAACAACCCGAGTTATAAATCTTTTAATAAAAATATATTTCTAAAAAGATAAATTAATATTGTTCTGAGGTTCGTAGCTGGTCTTTAACTCGTCTGATTTTAGTGCTCAAGAGCTCAAATGAAAGTCCTGACATTACTGAATATTTTAAGCCTAGAACGAACTGCAAGCGTTAGTAAGAACTGGAGATATAAGAAAAATAATTTTAAAAAAATTATCAAACTACGAAACGTCCATAAGAAATGTATGGGGGAGAGTTTTCGTTTGAGTATATCTTCTAAATTAAAAAAGATATTGAAAAACGGATTTCGGTATTGAAATCAGTGTAAAAATGTAGTTTGTAATGATGTGTCACAACACTATCATTACATTGAAAAAAAATTATCTATGTCCAATATGGCGGATCCAAGATGGCGGCCAAAAACGTGTTCCTTATCAAAATGAAGCACTAACCACCTAATTAATACAGGTGGTGGTCCCAAGTCAATATCTCGAAAAATGTGTATAAAAAATGCACGTGAAATATATTTTTTTAATTTGTCCAATGTTGGGAAAAGCTGCCATTTAAATTGTGATTTTAGTGGTTTTCTCGTGCACCGATTTTTAGCAACTTTTAGTATGTCATTCTGCAAGCCCAGCACTCCAAATAAAACCATAAAACGTTTTCTTGCAATTTTTTTAAGGTCATATCCTATATTTCTCTGACTAATTCTATAATTAGTAAATTAAATTCATCTTTAGTCACTAGCCAAAATCAATCTATTGTGAACAAACAGAGCTTAATTAAAACTTTCTTCAACTTCTTTTTCAATAAATTAAGAGGGAAATTTTGAAATAGATTTGGTAGATGGTTCCAAAGTCTTGGAGGAAAAAAAATACTTGCCAATGCTCGCCTTATGTCATACCTACTGATATGGATGTTACTTTTACCTCTAGTGTCATATGAGTGAATTTGTTCATTTGTTGTTTTAAAGATGTTAGCTTTGAAATATATTAAAACTCGGTTAAATGATTATGCAAGGAACGGTAAGAATCTCAAGATTTTTGAATGTTTCCTCACAAGAATTCCCAAAGCTCAGTCCTGCCATACACCCCAAAGCTTTTTTGTTGAATGGCTAGAAGTTGATTTATGTTTGTTTTGGTAGTGTATACCCATATTTCGATACAGTATGTTAAATTGGAATAAAATAATGAGTAGTAGATTTTTTTCAAAGTTTCAATAGAACATACTTTACCAAATCTTCTTAATATAAAAACTGACCTTGATAATTTTGTACTAAGGTAATTTACATGATCATTCCAGTTCAGTGAACTGTTTACCACGAGACCCAAGAATTTAGTTTGTGGAACAATATCTATGACCTGATCTTCTTCCACTAAAATTTTAGGGTCAAAATTTAACATTCTGGTTGAAAAATTCAAAAAAGCTGTCTTATCTATTTTTACTGATAAACGATTTTCATTAAAATATTGGATTATGCCAGTTGTAAATATATTTGTAGAGATTTCCAAAGTATTTAAGATTGAATGATTTAAAATTAAAGAAGTGTCATCTGCGTATGTTATAGTTTTGCCAGTGTCGTCACTATTTATGTCATTAATGTAAATTAAAAATAATAGAGGCCCTAGGACTGAACCCTGGGGAACCCCTAGTTTCACTTCTATGTGGTTAGAAAAGAAGTCTTTATCGTTATGTTTGATTGAAACTAACTGTTTTCTATTTAGCATGTAGGACTTTATTAACTCAAGCGCAGAGCCTCTAATTCCATAATTTTCCAGCTTATCAAAGAGGATGGTTGGGTTCACATAGTCAAAAGCTTTCTGGAGATCCAAAAATACCCCAAAGGTGTAGTTGTTCTTTTCTAGGGCCTCAATAATAATCTCAAGGAAATCAGAAATTGTCGTTTTTGTTGATAATATTTTTCTTTTCAAAAAACTAAAAAATCTTCTGAAAATAGTTTTTTCAAAAATGTTGGTAAATATTGACAATAGGGCTATTGGACGGTAATTATCTATTAAATTACAGGAACCCTTTTTTTTATATATTGGTACAATTTTGGCAATTTTACAGTGATCCGGGAAAATACCTGTCTCTAGCATATCATTGGCAATGACAACTAAAGGTTTCAAAATTGCATGTATTGAACTTTTGATTATTTTTACACTAATTCCACCCCAACCAACGGATTGAGTGTTTCTTAAATGTTTAACAATATTCAAGATTTCCCTCTCATTAGTTAGTTCTAGGTATATACTTTCTAAAACTCTAGATCCTAAAAACTTATATTTCAATTAATCAAAGTTCCTAGCCAATGTTTGAGATTTAGAACAAAAAAAAAATACTAAATTTGTTTACAATAATTTCAGGGTTTTGTATCCCTGATTCCTTTTTTTCAAACTTATGTTTGGTTTCAAATTACATTTCCTACCTAGGTCTGAATTAATAAGGACCCATGTGGTTTTACTAATATTGTTTGACTCTCTAATTCTAGAGTTAAAATACTCTTTTCTAGCCTCGATAAGCAGATTACTGTAGCACAACTTGTGGTAATTGTAAACGTAAAGCCTTTTTATGTCAGAACTACAGGACGTACTAGCTATCACAGATTCCAACAAAATTAACATATTTTTTGCATCTAAAATCTTTTTACTTTTCCAGAAATAACTTTTTTTTTTTGTTTACTTTCTTTGTTACTAAAGGAAAACTCAAATCATAATAGTACGAAAAAACTGCAAAAAATCTATTAAACATCTCATTGGCTGTTTGACTACTTAATACACAATTCCATGACTCTTTGTTAAAGTTGTAAATAAAAGAGTTTGTATTTACGGTATCAATGATTCTTTTTTTAACAATTTTTGGGCTGTTTGATATTTTTGTTTTTAACATAATGGTAATTGAAATAGCATAATGGTCTGATACACTGGATCTAATAACACAGTGACTATGGTTACTTATGAACAAATTATTGCTTACAAAGATATTATCAATACATGTTTTAGACAATGGGGTTACTTAATAAATGTATATATTTAATAAATGTTACCAACCCCATACAAAGCATTTCCTAAAAACTGCTGAACTACACCCTATATTACAACTGAAATGTCAAATTAAAAATGGACATGTCATTAATGGATGTGTTTGCTTTTGGATTATACTTTTTAGATTATAATTTGCCTTCGTAGGTATGTTTCAGCACTTTTCTATTTTTGCAAAGACTAATGAGTTATAACAACTTTTTCTAGCATAAAAACTGTTAATACTGTACTATTGTGTATTAATTCAATTAATATTCTAAATTGTACTTTCAGGCGAGAATTACTAAAGTGGTTTGTTGGAATTCAGTTGGATGAGTACTTAGTATTGTTTAATGAAAGTGAAGAAAATGCCTGGTTAGATAAGATTGACCGGAGATATACATGGTTTAAGAAACACTTGCTTCAATGTGAGGACAAGTTTGGTGCGATGTTTCCTCCCCATTGGGAAGTTTCCGAACGGATTACCATTAAGTTCTGTCTCATTACAAGGTAAGTTTGAAACTTTCTCTGTAAATTGATATGCGGTTTGGTTCTTCCTGTGAAAAGGAGCTACGTGTTATAAAAAAAAATAAATACCAGCTCATTCGATGTTTTGGATATTTTTGGAATTCTTTACCTAGCCACCATCATTTTCAGATCTTATGTAATTGTATATACACTATGTATAATCTAATTATAGAGGGTGACCAGAGAAGACCAGATGTTATAAAATAAACATTACTCATTTGTTTTTGTGTCGATTTTAACTAGGGATGCACGGGATTGAATTTTTAGTTCGGGACGGGATTTTTATTTCCTTCCCAATTTTCGGGACAGGACGGGACGGGATCTCTTCCTGTGCATAAAAAGAAAGTCTTGAGTATTGCAGCTACCAAAAAAACAAACAAAATCAATTTTTTACCATTTGTGGTACTGATCTATCAAAACCAAATAATTTATAAATAAAAATACTTTTTAAAAATGCCATTTTATTCCCTCCACATATTTATAAATTATTTTCTACTTTTTAGTGAGTTTATAAAAAACGTGTCATTTTTAAAAAGTATTTTATTTATAAATTATTTTCTACTTTTTAGTCTTTAATGTGTAAATATCTTAAATCTATTTTATATGGCCTAATAAGGTTTATGTTACCTGGCTTCTGTCTCCGATCCACGGTAGTTTTAAGAAACTACAGCCGTTTCATGCCCTCCATTGGCACATCCTCAGGTTTGGTGAACGCCAGCTTTTCTATAAAATATCCCTCAGTGTTGAGTTTGTCATGGCTTTACGAACTCAACACCATCGTAAAACCATGGTGTTGGTTCGTCCTGGTCGTGGACCGGAGACAGAAGCCAGGTAACATAAACCTTATTAGTGCTAGTTTTAACGATACAGTGGCCAACCATCATGAAATTGTTATATGGCCTGTTATACATAACCATAACCTTATTATCTGTAATCAGATGTTTTATCTTTACTTTTAAATGATTGTTTTATATTTTAGAAAATCTCGGGAGCAGAACCTGTGCCTCTTAACCTCTGCTCTTCGAACTGTCAAATTTAAGAATTTACAGTTGACTTCAATTGATATACAGTGGAACCTTGATAAGAAGACCCTCGATAACAAGCCACCCTTGATAACAAGTGCAGTTCTCAAATCCCCTTGAAATTACTTTACCCCTAAAACACATGTTACTGCAAACCTCAATAAGAAGTCAACCTTGATAACAAGCCTTATTTAATAATCCCCACGAGAGTCTTGTTATCGAGGTTCTACTGTTTTTACATTCTTTCAAAATGTAAACATGGAAAATTTGGAGGCCCACAGGGCGTAGCCCAAGAGAAATATGAAAATTTAATTACATAATATTGTATTGTCATCCATTTGTGAGATATGTTTCAAGTTTAAAGTCTCTAGCTCATCGAGAAGTTAGTTTAAAATTGATTGCATAATTTGTACCGGACAAGAAATCAAGCTAATAAAAACATTTTTTTTAAATGGGTAAAAATTTACAGGTATAGAGACTTGTGACTCGCCGTCATAGTGCGATTGTCGAAATGACTCCGCGGTCACGACAAGATCGTCGGTATGACTCCGTGGTCACGGCGCGATCATCAGTATGACTCCGCGGTCACGGCGCGATCGTCGGTATGACTCGCGGTCACGGCGCGATCGTCGAAATGATATTTTTTCCCCGAAAATTTCCCAAAATGTCGGGACCTGTCCATCCCCAATTATAACTCGTATTACTTTAAAATATTTGCAAAATCTTGAAGAATAGTTGTTCTGTTTACTATAAATAGTTGGCTACACTTTTCAGATGTCCATCACTTAAGGAAAATAAGTTTATCCAGGTGAAGTCTACATTCTTGTAGGCCTATGCAGGTTTCGGTCCTTTCCTTACACGTCCCAGCAGCTCATGGCATCATTAATTGTTGCCACTTCTTTGTAAATTGCTTTTTTTAAGATCCATTGTGGTTCATGGATTGATGATAATATTTGACCCACCTGAGAATTCTATTTAAGATGGTAATGACATCATGGGGTCAAAGTTGAAAGTAAACTCAAAAATGTCGCTGCGCTGCCGCAATAGACTCGCAATTTCATACTTCCTTGTCAAAGGCATACTATTCTGTTATACCAACCACCGCTCCATAGCATCGTATATACAAAAGTTAGTGACTGACCCCTCTCCCCCCTCGCAACAATTACAGATAGTGCGTTTTGTGACATTAAATAACAGCCGGTTCCTGTCTGTGACCCTGTATAATCCAAATTCGTAAATTTTCATTTTACCAACTGGTGATTTTTGACTTTGTGCCTGGTCAGCTTACAAAATGCTGTAGTATTAGCTTAATGACACTTCTAGATTTATGTAATTAATTGGCAAAATGTATTATTTAGAACTTTCTAATGTTAACTCAAAATCCCACTAGGCTTATTAAAACCAACCTTACAAAAATGAACTACTTTTAATGAATATAATTGATTTCTGATTTTTACTGACATTTAAATAAAGATTGTTCTGTTGAACTGCATGATATAGCTTCTGAATTGTTAAAACACTATTTTGTTTTTAGGTTGTTCAAGAAAATACCATTGAATTATTTTACATATCTCTTTAATATAGTAGTCTAGTAAATTTTATCGAGTGTATCATAAGATTTCAAAAATTTTTACAAGTTAAATTATTTATGCTATACAAAATAGTAAATTATCTTTAAAAGAAATGTCTGTTGTACTCATTTAAGATATTTATTGAAATTCTTCAGGATTTAATACATTTCTTATTTTCTTGGATTTTATATTAATTTTCCTTCAGATAATTGATGTCAGTAGCAATAACCTGTGGATACTCTTTGTCCACTGAAAATACAGGATAATAATATTTAGTCTTTTAAAAAAACTATTTTGGTTATATTATAACGTTTGCATCAATCATTATTCCAGAACAGTAGTTTCATTAGAATATATATTTATATATTGTGAATTTTTTTCATTTCAGGGCAGAACTAACCAAAATTATGTCAAAAAGGGCAAAAGAAATAGATGTTAAATTGCTATTATACGCCATCCAAAGAACGTCAAGTCTTGAACAGTTGCTGGCGGTTAGGTTTACAGGAAATACACTTCTTGAGGACAATCCAACAACTCAAAGCAGCAAAGTAAGTGGATTTAATAAAAAAAAAATTACAAAAACATTTAAAATTTGGTTTTTTTTATTCTCAGTGATGACATATGCATATAAGGCTAGTAGGCTTACTCAAAGACAATAACAAAATATATTTGTTTATAATTTTGGATTATGTGGTTTATGTTATTTGATGTAACTTCAATTTAAATGAATTTTGAACTGCCAAAAAATCAAAGCTCTTGCAAAAGCGCAACTCAATAATCAGTTAACACAGTGGAGGACCAGAGAATCTGGATCTTTATGTCTAACATAAGAACTTAATGGATAAAGCAATGCCATCTGGAAGCACTTGAGTATCTGGAAGCAATTTATGGTATATATACCAGGGCACAGAAAACGTACTACTATAACCCAGAATGCCAACCGCATGGTAAAAAGCATTAAGTGTTTTGAGAGAGCTTTGCCTGTCAATCGGTAGGCAGCGCCACCAGCGTTGCTATGCTATTGCATGGCAACGCTGGTGGCGCTGCCTACGGATTGATAGGCAAAGCTCTCTCAAACCGCTTAATGCTTTTTACCATGCGGTTGGCATTCTGGGTTATAGTAGTACGTTTTCTGTGACCAGGGTGAGTCCATCGAACAGTGTTTCTCAATACTCAATTTCAGGTTGGAGTGTTGAGTGCTATTAGTTGTTTACATCCCATTATCTGATATCTTCTCTGACTAGGTGTACAGTATTTGCTAAAACATACCTTTTCTTAGTTAGAAGTTGTATTCGCAAAAAATCAGCAACAGTGTTGGAAAAAACATTGTTATATTGTTAAGTATGCTATTTATTGCACATTTGCTATATTAACACCGATCCACACTTTAGTACATTAGCTCCCAAGCCTGATTTTAAAAATATAATGCATAGTTGTGATTACATTTTACAATTCGAGTAGTTTTTTGGGCCATGTTGTTAGGCTCCTGCTACTGCACAATTCTGTCGGCGGACCGGACTTATTTATTTCAGATTGGGCCGGGTTAGGTAAAACAATAAATAAATAAATAAATAATAAATAAATAAATAATGGGAAGAGGATAATGGGAGATGTTCTTCGGGTTGTCTGGTGGGACAATAAGTCTGGTCTACAGACCGGACTTATTTATTTCAGATTGGGTCGGGTAAGGTAAAAGAGTTCCGAACTTTATGCCTTGGGCCAAATTCCGGTCAGGCCAAAATAGATTTGCTTTGGAAAGTATTGATTTTTAAAATGATTATTAATAAGCTACAATTTATTTAATGTGTCCATTATCTCCCCCAATCATAGTGAAATCATGTCTGGACGTAGCAAAATTGTGAATTTTGCATATGGGCAATCTTTGCAGACGCTTATTGCTGTGGTCATTATTATGTGTCCAGCATACAAGCTTTGCTCGAAAATTTAGTAGAAACCTCTGAACGCTCATGGCCTGAAAGTTATTTCCAGCCAGATCCGATCTCCAAATGCTGGCAAAGCCTGACCTGAACATTTTGGAGACGCTCAGGCCCCTTTAAACGAATCACAATTTTTAGTCCTAAATTTTCACCCGACTGTCAAGTTCAAGCACCAGCACTACTGATGATTCTATTTTCTGACTTTGCATATATTCATGTATTTTTACTTTTGTTTAAACTTTCAGACAGAAGACCAAAAAACAACCAAACGGAAGTCAACCTCTAACCCGTTTGATGTGGAAAATCAAGAGGAAGAAGGCCAACCCAAACCCACCAATGAACAGGCAGTCTCAGCCTTTCACAATATTATTGGACAATGTTTCCTGCCGTACCTATACATCTACATCGATAGTCTTGATAGGTCAGAAATTGATTCGTTATTGATTGAGTTTGATAAGCTAAATATATTTGAAGATGTTCAGAATCATCTTGGTTCTGTATGTCAGCAAATGTAGCATTTAAGATGTAAGCCTACTTAAAGAAACTAAGCATAATGTTATAATACTAATACAACTAAAACTAAAACTTAATCTGTAATGTGTTTTCTTTGTTTATTTGTTTTTGTTGAATGATTGTTCTTTCTTTTCTTCAAATTTTGTTTTGTTCTTTTCATAAATAAATCTAATAGTTACCTCACTTTGAACATTTATTTATATGGAGAAGGTAAGTTTTTGCTGTGTTTTTGTAGTTTATTTGATTTTATTGTTTTGTTAAGCATGTTGACAAACGTTCATACTTATTTACTCATTTGAGGTTGTGGTATATTCATATTTCTTTGTTATTAAGGGTGGGTCTAAAAATATGTCAACAGAAGTTTCTAAATAGGCATGCTCATTGTCATTATGGTCTAATACTGATATCTTAGCAAGTCTTAAATTCCTTACAAATGAATGTAATGCCATAAGGAAAGTAAATAGAATAGCTAGAGGATTTGGCAATACGTATCAATTGTTTAGATTCATTTGTTAAGAATTATAAGAGCACTAATGCATTGCTAATCATAATACAGAGTTACTGTAGGCCTGAAATTCAGTCTTTAGGCCACCTATTCTTTAGCTCTTGCCACAGTTTTTTCCGTCAGATATTTCATATAGTTTGATCAGTAGTTCTTTAGCCTGCATCTGGCATGGAGTTCTTCTCATCTAGATAATTATCTGATGTGGTGTTAAGATAAAAACATTATTTGAATAGCAATAAAGAAATATAGGTTGAGATTTAAAATTAACGATTAACAAAATACAATTATTCTTAAATTATTAAAATCATCTGACTCCAAACCCACCTTGTCAGTTAGTCATCAGTGGATCTTATTTTGAATACACCAACTTGGGTTGTCATCACTGGACCTGATTACAAATATGCTAACTCAGGTTGCCATCAGTGAACCTAATTAGAAATAAACCATCTAGGGTTGTCAGCAATGAATCTCGTTACAAATTCACCAACTCAGGTTTCCATAAGCAAACCTGATTACAAAAAAACCAACTTGGGTTGTCATCAGTGAACCTGATTACAAATAAACCATTTAGGGTTGTCATCAGTGAACCTGATTACAAATAAACCATTTAGGGTTGTCATCAGTGAACCTGATTACAAATAAACCATACCAGGTTGTCATCAGTGAACCTGATTACAAATAAACCATATCAGGTTGTCATCAGTGAACCTGATTACAAATAAACCAGCGGTGAACCTGATTACAAATACACCAACTCAGGTTGCCAGCAGTGAACCTTATTACAAATACATCAAGAACTCAGATTTTCATCAGCGAACCTGATTACAAATAAACCATTTAGGGTTGTCATCAGTGAACCTGATTACAAATACACCAAATCAGGTTGTCAGCAGTGAACCTTATTACAAATACATCAACAACTCAGATTTTCATCAGCGAACCTGATTACAAATAAACCAACGGGTTGTCATCAGTGAACCTGATTACAAATAAACCATCTAGGGTTGTCAGTAGTGAACCTGATTACAAATACACCAACTCAGGTTGTTATCAGTGAATCTGATTACAAATACACCAACTCACGTCGTCATCAGTGAACCTGATTACAAATAAACCATATCAGGTTGTCAGCAGTGAACCTGATTACAAACACACCAACTCAGGTTGTCATCAGTGAACCTTATACAATATTTTTTTTATTGTTTTGGCAACTGTATGAACATCTTGGTCTTGTAAGTGACAGATAGATATGACTAAACTGTATAAAAGTGGATCCAGCCAGGGGGCACAGGAGGCATGCGACCCCCCCCCCCTCCCTGGGCCAACAGTTTTTGTATTGTTTGGTAATAAATCATAAATTTTTATTGCTCATTGAATAACAAAGTTACAATAGACCTCCTCAACAATGAAAATAATGTAGGACCTGACATACACATTTACTATAACTAGATCATCACTAAACTACAAGCAATTTCCAGGCCGTAATGCTCGTCAAGCATGACGTCACGATAGAAGAAGGCAATGACGTAATGTTTGCCGTTTGTGATCAGCTGCTCGTTTTAATCTGTCCTTGGAAAATAAATAAATAAATACCTACGTCATAGCCGTCTTCTATCGTGACGTCATGCTTGATGAGCATTACGGCCTGTTTTTTTAGTGTGGCCTTGCTTCGGGCCCAAGGCAGCTATGTCGTGGGTTCGGACCCTGGTCACTGCCGTTAACATTTGATTAGTACTGTTCACCTTTGTACTGTACCGGGTCACCCTTTGCTTTGCTGGATAGGTTCCAGGCACGGGCAGTTAGTCTATGTGGACAAGCAAATGCAAGGTTAAAAGAGGCCGCCAACCTCTTTAAAATTAAAAATTAAAAAATGGTTGCAGCATTGACTTGTTCATTGGTTACATTAAATTGTACAAGTAACTTTCTCATTCTATTGTAAAAGCCCGTTTTGAGGATGTTTCATATTTAAATAACTTAATTTCATTTCTATATTTATAGTAAATTGTTCCGTGTTAGTGAATGTTGAAAGTGTTGACTAAGTGTTTTTCTCCGGATTTCAGCAGAAATTAAATGATTTGTACTTTACTCTTTGGTCAAAACACTACACAATACCACAGAAAAGTAAGGTAAAGAGGAAACTTGCTTGGAAACAGGAAGAAACTAACCTTAAAATTAATTGTCTTTAAATGATCCGCTATCGTGGCCACAATTTGAATATCTCTCGCGATCCCATGAACATTTGCTATCGTCTCCGATGATCACGGAAAATCTTGATCAATCTAACATAATGGAAGATATCATAACTGCCCCGCCCCCCTCCAATTGCCGTTAAAACTTATTGTGGCAAAACACCAAGACTCGTTATTGTCTCCTGTGATCGTGGCAAAATTATTGCATGGCAAAACGAAACGGAAACTGTAATTTTTCACCAATTCTCAATTTCGGGTTTTTTAGTTAAAAACCATTAAACCAACATCCATCATTAAAAACAGGTTTAATTTTGAATCCTTTTAAAATTTGTTACAATTTCATTGACATATATCGCAAATATATAATTGATATAATTGCGCCTCTCCCTCAACAAATCCTGAGATCCACCTCCGAATAGTGTCCATATGTTATGATTAAATTTCCTCAATTTACTAAGTATTGATGCCATAGAAATCTGTACGAGTTGTTGGAGAAGTTTATGACTGAGTCAAAGCGAGACTTCAGCAATGAGCAGCCAGTGAGTGCAGCAGTCCAAGGCGTTCTTCCTTCTTGTGCTGATCTCTTTGTCTTCTACAAGAAGTTCCTGGTGCAATGCAATCAGCTGAGTAATGGTCCACCAATGCTCAGCCTCAGCCAAACCTTTGAGAAGTATCTCAGAGAATACGCTGTGAAGATTCTTCAGAACAATTTACCCAAGTAAGTAATTGCTTTTGGCTTTAAATTATTGAATTGTGTATTGTTAGCATTTTAAAATGATTTTTTGTTTTGATATTGCCAGATTGCAATAGATTTTCACGAGTGTTGTCCCGATTGCTTTACAGAGTAACAGCTGGTGCATACCAAAATTCAAACTTGATTCTACCTCCAATTTGACTACAGATTTCCTTGCAATGCCAATATGGAAAATCTCTCTAAAAACCTAGAATAGTGGGCAGCCGTTAACTTATCTGTCACCAACATTTATTTTCTAACTTGGTTATGCCATTAAATAATTTTCTTCGTAGTTTTTTTATTCGCCATCAATTATTGTAATTTAATTTCACTTAAATTTTAGTATTAACTAATTTTAATTTTAACTTAATTTTTGACAATTCTATAAATAGTTGATTTTTGAGTACTGGAATTTTTGGAGTACTGGAAGAGTACTGGAAACTTAACTGCAAACCCATTTTGGCATAAAACGAATGATTTCTTTTAATGTAGCCTACGATACATACTCTTTGAGCTTGTGAAAACACCATGCTGAGCTGAGTCTTATTCACAATAATTTCCCAATAACACTAAAACTCATGGATAACTATGTAACAATGCATATTAGCCGATTGGCAATACTTGATACTTACTTGATACTTGATACTTGATCTCTTCATCGTTGACCAACAAATGTTGGATAGATTGCGTCATTAGATTGCTACACTATTTACTAACACTATTTACATATATACAATTAAACTGAACTGACGGATGTGACTTTTTTGGGGAAAGCGAGTGGCTCGTCAAACAGTTCTTTTAAAGAGTACAAGGGCCTGCTGAGTAGGCTCTGGCGAAGTGCGGATTTGAATCGCTTTGGGTCTAGAGCTCAGATATTAGTCGGCAGTGTGTTAAATAGTTTTATCGCTATTGAGGGGTATGACTGAAGTGTGTGGAGAAACCGACGAGGTAGGTCAAGGTCACCAGCCCCGCGGGTCCCATAATTGTGCTGAATGCTTCTGGTTGAGAAGTTAGTTAAGTTGCTTCTCAGAAGGACTAAGGTGTTCAGTATATACTGGCTGTAGACCGACAAGATACCAAGTTCTTGAAAAATCGGCCTGCAATGGTCGGTTGGGCCGGAAGATGTTATCAGTCTTAGAGCCCTCTTCTGTAGCAGCAGCACACTTTGAGTTGCGTGGCTATGTCCCCATACCACCAAGCCATAGTTAATGTGACTGTGGAATAGTGAGTGATACATGATGAGCAGGTAGGGGCGTGTGATCTCATTCTTTAGTCTTCTGATCAGATAGAGTATGCTGCTAAGCCTAACACATACCTTCTCAACATGATGATTCCAGTTTAGTTTGGAGTCGACCCAGAACCCTAACAGTTTCACCGCCTCATCTTCAATACCCTGTTTGAAGGTGCACGTGATGGCCTGTGTCTTGTCATTGTTGATTTTGAGACGGTTTAACAGAAACCATTCTTTAGCTTCATTCAATAGAAAAGCTGCCTCTGTTCGAAGATCGTTCAGGTTGCTGTGCCTGGTCAGTGACGTTTTATCCTCTGTGAAAAGCAGCGTGCGCCTGTTAAGAGACAGATCGTTTATCATTATTATGAACAGGACAGGACCCAGAATCGAGCCTTGGGGCACACCATGGTGCATTTCCTTGACGTTGGAAGAAGCTCCATGCAGCGAAACAATTTGTTTCCTGTTTTCCAGGTAGTTAGCCAGTGATTTATGGACCACTCCAGTGATGCCATATTTGATGAGCTTGGCAAGGAGGATATCATGGGAGACCACATCGAACGCCTTGCTTAAGTCACAGAGACTTAGATGGATAGAGTCATTAGATTCAAAGGCGTCCGAGATATTTTTGACTAGGCTAAGTAGTGCAGATGTGGTGGATCGTCCAGCTCTAAACCCATGTTGGGAGTCATTGAACAGACTGTTGTTCTCGAAGAAGGCCACCAGCTGTTCCTTCATAACTGCCTCCAAGACCTTGGAAAAAACAGGGAGAATCGATATTGGTCGAAAATTGGCTGGCTGTGCAGGATCACCCTTCTTATAGTTAGGAGTAGTTTTGGCTATCTTGAGGTTGTCAGGAAATACGCCTTCCGCCAAACATCTGTTTACTAAATAGGCAAGAGGAGCGGCAATAGATTTGAAAACAGATTTTAGAATGTGAGTTGACACTCCGTTTATGTCTTGGCTGAAAGAATCTTTAAAATGGTTTACTATTGTAGTTAGTTCTTTTTCACTCACCTTTTTCCAGATTTTGAAAGTGTTAATTGGGGTTAGGTCAGAGAGATGATCCACTGGATTGGGCTGTAACAGAGGTAGATCGGAGATTATATCATCAGCTATTTTAGAGAAGTAATTATTAAAATCGTCAGGTGATGATGGAGATGATGGTGCATGAGTGGATGGTCTATGTTGGTTAATAATATCCCAAACGGCTTTGCATGAGTTGGGAGCGTTTAAGATGATCTGAGCGTTGGAAAGTTTTTTGGCTAATTTTACTTTGGAGCTGTAATCTTTCTTAATTTTGGTATAGAGAGAGTAGTACCTAGTTTTCAAGGCAGGGTCAAGGGTCGAGTTATAATGGTCATGCACTACCATCAGAGACCACAACGTGCTGAGCTCTGGGGTATACCATTTGTTGGGTTTTGGTATTTTAGGTTTAGGTTTCATGACTTTAGATTTTTTCCTGATTTCACTGATTGGAAAGACTAAATCAAATTTTTCTTGAAAGAGATGAGAAAATGTCTTAAAAGCATCTGCCGGGTCGGTAATTAATAATACAGTCTCCCAATTTACATCTTCTAGCATATTACACAGGGTCTGTACGTTATTTAAGTCTATTTTCCTTTTTTCAATTTTGTATAGATCTAGCCAGTGAGGTTCTTTGCTTACCTGCCTTAGTCCTAGTGTAAGGACTACAGCTCCGTTGTGGTCACCAACATGAGACGGAACAACTTCTGCCTTTAGGTCCCAGGAGTCGAAATTGGTTGCAGCTGTGTCAAGGCACGCTTCTCCTCTGGTTGGTTCCCTGGAAGCAATGTAGAGCCCAAAGCTTCGAAAGAGATTTACAAATAAAGCCTCATCGGAAGAAGGTCTTTCTAGATGAACATTAAAATCTCCACACACAATCAGTTTACTGGATTTAAATCTTGATAGATGTGTTAGGCATAGGTCCATTTGATTTAAGAAACTATCCAAGTCACCATCAGGGGATCGGTATACAGTCATTAGTATTGTATTGATATCTACTACTTCAACAGCGGTAACTTCAAAAATCATTTCGATGCAGAAGTTGTCAAGACTTATTTGATTACATTTGAAGGACTTGGCAGCAAAGATAGCTACTCCACCATTCCTATGTACACTACGAGCAAAGATATTTACAAGATGCAGGTCACACATTGTATGGTAAAAGTCAGACTCACCAGGTTGTAGCCAGTGTTCAGCTATGCACAGAAAATCACATTTTACTTCTCCAATGAAGTCTGTTAGGAGTTCAATTTTGTTCCTTAAGCACTGTACATTCAACACAGCCAATCTAACACCAGCAGGCTTATGGCTTGATTGAGTTAGAGAGTTAGGCCTGCAGTCACTGATTGAGGGGGTTAGGCCTAGACCTATGTTTTCAAAGTCCTGTACACGGTTCTGCCTAAAAAAGGCTTTTGATTTTGATGTCTGAAACGGCCAGATGGGAGAAAGTGTCTGACTAGGACACCGCTAGGCCAGAAATTTGGGTCCAAAATGAAATTTTCTTTGTCACTTGACACTCCTACTTTGAAAGACTTGTAGGTCTGAAATCGAGTCTTGATCTCTACGCATTCCGTGTCCGTTACTTCTTTAGATTTTAAGAAAGTTAAAACTTCGTCACACGTTGTGTCCGGCGATACTCTACAAACGAAGAAATGTGTTCGTCTTGAGGCCGATTTTAAATTGTTTACAACTTCACTTGTCCCGATTACTACGTTATTCTTCCACTGGTTGCTCAAAGAGCTTGACCGGACTTCACTTTTGTTAGTCTTCGAAGATTTTTTCACAGCGGAGGAGTAAAGTGGTTTTGGTCGTGAGGTTTTAATAACTAACGAAATATCGTCAGCTGAATCGTCAGAGCCGCCATTATTACATTTAGACTCTCGGTCTCGACTTCGTTCCAGTTCCAAGTCCGTTCCATTCCACTGTTCCTCCTTTTTGGTTTGTAAGTCTGGCGATGTCACGGCCACATTAATGTTGTTGATGTTCGATTCGTCCAATGGGGACAGGTGTAACGTCTCTTCAACTTTCTGAAGTTTCTGATTGGTTGTCACTAATGGTGGGTTTTCACTTTGGCATATTATTACGCTATTTTCAACTATGTCGACTTTGTCAATCTTGGTTAAAACTTTATTTAAAACAACTTTGGTTTTTAGGCCTTGATTCATTAAGATGTTGATTTTCTTTTCAAGAGCATTAATATTATTGTTAAAGTTCTCCTTCAGGTCAAGAAGCTCACCTTTGAGGATACATTCTGTCTTCTTTACAGCAAGATGAGACTTGAGCTTCGTATTGCAGTCGTCACAAAATCACTTAATAAAGTCCTCAATTTTTCGTAAATCGTTAAAAATTTTAGCCGAAAGATTCACACATTTGGCGTGATGCCAGCAACCACAATATCCGTCACACTGTAGGGTTTTTTCTAGGGATGGACGAGATTGGATTTTTAGTTCGAGACGAGACGAGACGAGATTTTTTATTTCTCATAAAATTTCGAGACGAGATCGAGACGGGATTTCCCTTCTCATACACAACGGGAAATGCACGTTCAAAATTTTTACCTGATTTTGTAACATTGTTAGATGACTGTTTAAATACAAAAATAATGATAATAGGCAAGAATATTTACAATCTTTTATTAAAAAACATCAGCATAACATTTTTTTATTAATCACGCCTAACTTATTAAAAATGCCTACGATTAGAAAACATAGTGATATCAGTTAGGATAGAGTTCAACTTATCCTAAAATAAAATAAATCATAAAATAAAAGCAATATTAATTTTTATAAAATAGTTACTTGTTTTGACTTTTTATACTTTTATAGTACAGTAATAAAATATTCCTCGCACTGCTTACACTTAACAAAACTTCTCAAATGTTATTAAAGTAATAATATTAAAATAATTAAAGTAATATTTACATTTAAAGAATTAATTAAATAAGAACGCCTTAGCAAAGGAAACGCAACTACAACACGCTCCTGTATTGCGGGTATTGCATTGACTTTCTGCAGGAGTTTTGAATTTTTTTTTTTTTTTTTTTTTTTTTTTAATTCTCGTCTCGATAAAAATCTCGGCCAAAAAGAAATCTCGTCTCGTGTAACGAGATTTAAAATTTCCCGAAAATTTCCCGAAATTTCGAGACTTGACCATCCCTAGTTTTTTCTTCGTCAAAACATCGATTTTTACACACAGGGCAAGTCAGCGCGTCAGTCACATCCGCCATTACCACTGCCAATGAAGTAATGAACACAGGAATACCAACATATGAGCTTTTTTTGTCATTAAAAAGTGTCTTGCGGTATTTGTAATTTGGGTTGTGTTAAAAAAGCACCCTGTTTAATGAGGAGTTTCTGCAGCTTCAAGGACACCACACAAAATCAAACCCCTCTTTCTAACTGAATGGTCAGATGGCTAAATCCAGTCACAGTAAGTTGCAAGGCTGTTATTTTGACACATTCAGTACTTTTTTCTTAAAACAGTAGAGGATAGGAAGAGAGGACACATTTAATCCCAATGGCGCCTTAACAAAGATCATATACTACAAGGATATATACAAAGGACAGTGACATATTTCCGAATAGGCGGACTAGGCGCCAGCCTAGGGCGGCAAAATTTTGGAGGTTAAAAGTTTGAGGTTTTAATTTTAAAATAAACGTACGTTAAGCAAATAATTCTGGGAACGGCAAAACAGCCATTTAAAATATTTTGATTAAGTATAAAATGATTTCAGAACGCATTAAAGTCAAACAATATCCATGCTGCCCTATTGGGCGAGCGAGTTGCCGGCCGCTGCGTAGTGGCATGTGATCGTTGGTAGTGGCGAACAAATTGTACAACACTTCCCCCTGTTTACTTCATACTCCAACGCCACTACGCAGCGGCAGATAATTTTTAGTGAACCGTTGAATTGAATAAAAGTCGCTAATTTTGAGTCACACAATCACTTTTTCGGCTGGTAAGATTACAACTTAATGTTTTCTTTGATGTTTGTTTAGCATTACAGTAGATTGGATTTTAGAGGTTAGGGGCAAGCGGTTAAGCTCATACAATTATGATCAAGGGTGAAAACAGTGGAGCGGTGAGACTAGATCGTAGTTGAGAGGATAAAAAATAATACATGTGTGTAGGCGTGCCAAAACATAGTAAGGCGGGGGACGTAGCTATATCATAGTAACCGCGCCGACCCGCT